CTCTTCAGTTTCTTCCTTAAGTATACAAAATTATTGTGTACGTTATATGTATTATATTTGATTTTTTTTTACAGCTGTTTAAGAATGATATATTGTAAAAGGAATGCCTTTTACTTCTGGAGCACAAGTCTGTTACAGTTTGGGTAGTTTTAATGAAAATGGCAAAGGAGAATCTGAAATTGTGCTTAGATAATTGAGTGAACTGAATGAAATAATTGAAACCGTTTCATTTAAAACATCAAATATTTAATTACATAGTGTACAAAAATTACAAAGGCTACACAGGACATCGAATATAAGCAGAAATAACTCTTAAGTGGTTTGCGGTTTAGCTGAACTGCATCATTATGAAAAAAGAATTAAAAAGCCATAAAAGTATTGGGGAGAGGAAGGAGGTTGTGAGGGAAAGTTTAAAAAAAAAAAAAAAAGAATTAAGTGTAATCATTCTGTTTTTCTTTTTCTCCCATAGAATGCTTTAAGATTTGCATTTCATCGGAAGCGCTAGTGGATGTTGGCATGCCTTGGATAAGGTGGTAACTACTGGATGTAATCTGTTTTTGTTCACTGCAGAGGGCCAAAATTGACTCCGTTTGGAGTTGAAAGAGAAAGTAGTACAGACGTATCAAGATGACTGATCCTATGATGGATTTTTTTGATGATGCCAATCTGTTTAGTGAGACCTTAGAAGGTTTGTCAGATGATGCCTTTGTTCAACCTGGACCTGTTTCACTTGTTGATGAATTGAATTTGGGTGCAGAATTTGAACCTTTGCACATAGACTCATTGAACCATGTGCAAGATGCTCAAAGTCAACAAAAGATGAGTGAGTTTGAGCAGCTGAACCAGTATGATTCACTGAAACTTCACCAAGTAAATCAGTCTTTTAATAGCTCAGCTGACAGTGTCTTATCACCACACTCTCAATTTAATTGTTCACCAATTCATCCGCAGAACCAGTCTAATGGGATGTTTCCAGATGTGGCTGATGGTAGCCCTATGTGGGGTCATCAAACTGCCACAACTGTTTCAAATCAAAATGGGTCCCCCTTTCACCAAGGACATTCTCAGTCTATGCAGCAAAACAAAAGCTTTGTAGCACACCATGACTTTGCCTTATTTCAGGCTAACGAACCGCAGCATCAGTGTGCCTCACTACGGTCACAACAAAGCAGAAACAACATTAACACAGGGCAAGATGCTCTGAGTCCGCCAAAAGACTTCATGGAAGTTAATGTATCTACTTCTCACAGAGTCAGTGTTAACCACCCACCTCCGGTTTCCAATCCATCAGCTTCACAGCAGCCTCTGTCCGTACAACAGTTTTCTCAAACTGCAAGTGCTTCAATACATTTTTGTGGGAATCAAGAGGGAAATTTTGATGGACAGTCCTCAACCATTACTCCGTGCTCTGTCAATAATACCCAACAATTTTCTTCTCCTTATTCTTACTCTAATAACCACATTTCTCCTACGAGCCTTCTTCAGTCTACAACGGCTCTTTCTAGCCAGCAGACACACGCTATCTCTGACTTCACTGGAAGTGATGCCTTTACATCTCAAACAGGGACCAAGCAAGAAACAACTGAGCACATGTTGAATCCTAACACACCTTTGAATTCAAATAGTTTTCAAATGTTGCATTCTGCACATCCTCAGGGCAACTTTAGTAGTTCAAAACTCTCTCCTGTGAATATTAATTTTCCAGCTTCTGCTGGTTCTGCTTCTCAGATAAGCCATTTCAGTGACCCAATTGAAAGCAATGGTTTTACGTCTTTGGATGAGAACTTACTTCATCAAGTTGAGACTCAAAGTGAACCATTTACAGGACTTGACCCAGATGACCTCCTTCAGGAAGACCTTCTTCCACAGTTTGATGATTCTGCGTTTGTTCAGGATAGCACAAGCCATGTTTTAGAGCATGACCTAGAACAGCATATAACGTCACCACAAGTAACACGGTCATCTGAAATTGCTCGGGCGCAGTCGCAAAGTCAGATCCATCCCTGGCATTCTTCAATTTCCAGTCAGCATCTGCAAGACAGAAGTCGTGTAACCTTACCAGGACAGGTATGTAGTGGTTTGTCTTATTTTTGAGCTGTCTGATTTGGCTGTTCTGGTGAAATGAGTAACAGTGGCTGGTACCTTTGCCAAACCACGGTAACTTAACTCGTAGCTTTTGCTGGTATTTGGCACGGAAGTGTGCACACAGTAACTGCTGATTTAGGAGAAAACTGCTGATGCAAACCTTGCTTTCTCTCTCCTGTTGATTTTTACCTTGTAGAAAACAAGATTTATGTGACCTGAAATATTTATTTAGGCAAAAGGGTGTCTGCCCTTCCACTGCTTATGTTTTCTAAATGTAACAGAGAAAACTGGTTCTTTTATGCTTTAAGTGCAAATATAATGGATAATTGTCTTTTGAAGTACTGATAACTGTGTATTTTTGAGAGTTGTAATAAGACTTATTTGCATATTTCTAAGAGGTATAGTATGACTGACTTGTATAGCTCATTTCCTGCAAGAATAGCACTGGTTTTGTTGTTACGTTGGTCACTTGCTTGGTAACATGATGCTCATGCTCATCGACCGGAAATACACGGGTTTTTTTGTTTGTTTTTAATGTGGTATTAATAATATGAAATGTATAAAAAGCTGTGCCGAACTTTCTTCTTTCTATGTTTGACTTTGTTACTTCTGGCTAAAACTATCCTGTACGTTTTCAGTGGTATACAAGGGAAACAAACCAAAACTTTGCAGACAAAACATTACCTAGTTTGAAGATTCTAGTGAATTTTCAAAGAGCTTTGTTTGAGAACTTAAGTCCCTGTCATGAGGTGTTTTTTTATTTGGTTTTTGGTTTTTTAATACAGACCTTTATCTTCATCTGTATCGCATTCTAGTATTTTTATAGTGACGTCTACGAGTAGCAATAAATTGAGATATCAACCGATGATTGCTTTGATCTTGTATGAAAGTAGGTAAGCTTCTCAAAAACAAAACAAAAAAGAAAAGGGTAAGGAAAGCTCTCTTTTTCACAACACTGTAACTAGCAAATTCGTTTGGTTTTATTACAGCCATTGGAAACTTCAGCGTATGTGAGATTCTTGAGAATTTTTTTGGCTTAAAAGATTCTAAATCAAAAGAAAATACTTCCTGAACGTAGGAGGAGTGACTTACTAACCAGAGGCACAAATAATTGTTCTGTCAGCTTCTAGAATTCATAAATCTTTCAAGCCGATGCTATAGTTTTGGAGAATAGATTAGCTGCTTTCCTTGTCAACACTTTAAGCATGGCTCCAGTGACTGCATGACCTGTAAATTAATACCTAATAGTACCATGTTTTGGCACTGCTTGGTAGCTTCAAGCCCAGATTTGATTTAACAGGAGCGACTGAAACCCCTTCTTCATTTAGAGGGTTTGGCAGAAGGAGCTGTAGCTGCTCTGTAATAAATGCACATACTCAGCTGCCGTTGCTGGTTATATAGGTCTTCCAAAATTGTGAGGACATTTGTTTAATGCATATACATGTGAATAGTAAAAATAGGAATTTTTATTTTATCTTCTGTTTTAAATTCAGGTAGGAATTCTGCTTATTTTGGGGAAAGTACAGGGAATATAAATGTCTTCTAATTTTCAATGTGTGTATTTTAACATAGAGCCAACTAACATCAAATACATATGTGCATATGGCTGTATATAAGTTAATAACTATATATCTGAGGATATAGAACCATGTCCTATCAAAAAAATTGTGGAAGGGGAGGAGCTCGATACTGCCTCCTGCTTTAAATACTTTGCAAGACAGACATAATGCCTGTGGAGAAGGCAGTATAATACCTGTTTTCCCCTATTCTCAGAATAATAAGCCCTCTAATTTTATGTTATCAGAGAAAGATAAATCAAAAATTAAATGTTAGACCCTTGGGTTCAGTGGATTGCTTCTCCGTTTCAGCTACTGCTTATGTTCATGGCAGTGTGGAATTTTCAATTCCTACTAGTGAAACTTTTATCTTTTGGCAAAGCTGTGGTGTGTTATTAATAGAATGCGCACACAGTTGTGAATCTAAGATTAGCTTGATTATTAGCTGAAATAATGCAGTAGATGCGTTCTGTTGGTGTTCACATGCATTATTTTTTAGGTCAGGGACAGGAGAGAAGAGGGGAGAGCCCAAGTAGCTAGGCTGGTCAGTTCTCTCTAGCAGAAAGCCCTCCGTAACCTAAAGATGGGCAGTATAGCAGCCAGCAGTGCAATACGATCCTATTTATTACTGTGTGTCCAGTGCTGCAGAAGGAGCAGAGCCGGAGTTCCCCGCCGGGCAGCGGAGCAGCAGAAAGCAGAGTGGCTGCCAGCAGCTTTGAGGCTATTGGTGTCCCCTGAGCATACTTGGGGTGAAGGGTGAACAGGAAGCGGAGTCCAGGAAAAGCAGGGTGGTGAGAAATTCATGCGTTACTGTAGCATGTGAGGAGCATGTGGGATACCAGCCACGCTGCAAAGTAGGTCTAATTAAAAACTCTTTCTGGTGCCATGACTTATTTACTGCTGTATACTTGAGCATGCTTTCAGACTACTTCCGTCTTTCACTGACAGACGTTTTAGTGCCTTATTTTCTCACTAGGGAAGAAATTTGCGGAGGCCTATGGGGTGTTTTGAAAGGGGGGGGGGGGCGGCAGTTGTTTTGTTTTGTTATTGTGGTGCAAGAACAGAGCAACTTTACAGAGTTTAAACTTAGTTTTACTTTTTTCTCCTAGAACTTTGAAATGAAACTGATAGGAAACAGTTATAAAACTGCATGATTTGTTTTTTAATAATATTCAGGGTGTGCAATAAAGTGTATGAATTGGATTCTGACCTTTAGTTTGTCTAATAGGGCAGATTTTTATATTTGTTTCAAAAAGTAACTGGTCGTGCAGTGGCAGCTGTCGAACAATTGCAAGAAGTGAATTAACGGGGGAATGACAGAGGTGAACAATATAAAAGCCTCTTTAAAGCAGCAGTGTGTGTAATTCGAATTAGTAAAAAAAAAGTCTGGCAATTACTGAAGTTGTATAAGTGTTTTAGAACTGTCTTTTATCTAATTGCAATTCCAAGAGGGATTTTAGTTCAACTTCTTGTTTTTATTTATTGTTTGATCACTTCATAGTATTTAAAGTTCAAAATCAGTTTTTATTTGAGCTTTTTACAAATTGACATAATTTAACTGGGGATGGGGGATTGGGGGAAGATATTGCTCTTACTGAGGCTGATTACCTTTAGGATAGGAGGTAGGTAGGAGGGGGTTTTTATTTCATAACTTTCGTATGTATTAGTTTACTCATGTGCATTGTTTAATGAGAAAATATTTCGTTGTACTGAGTTTTGTATATGTTGAGGAAACAATTATTAGTGGATTTGATTATTTTCCCCACTTTGAGTTTGATAATTGCAGTTTTCAGACAAGAATTTTTTTTTTACTTTATGAAATAATTAATTAATTGCAGCTATTGCAAAAGGACCCAACAATAGAGAATCAAAGATCTTTAACTTCAGCTAAACTGAAGTTGTTTAAGAAAGATAATAAAGTGCCTTGTATTTCATCATTTGAAATGAAGCATACTCATGACAGTTTTATTTGTACAGCTATTTTTTCAATACAAATTTGTTTAAAAATTAATATGGTCACTTCAGTGTAATACTACACAATTTTAAAAAATGTAGAATGTCTTATGCTGCTATTATACTTTCTATGCCTGCTGTAATTAGATTATAATTATAACTGTATCACACCTCTTAATTCTGCATCATGCATTTTTCTTCTAAGTTATTTTGATAATGAGAGCGCAAAGTGGAAAAGCACACTGGAGTTTGATGTAGCCTTACTCTTAACTGATGCAACACCTCTGATCTTTTTAATACCACTTAACTTTCATTACAGCCAAATAATCTATTTGTAATTCATGACTAAAAAAGAGATGACAAAAATACAGAACTGAACATTCAAGCCTGTATGTTTAGAAGAAAAATAAAGTTGGAAAGTTATTCTGAAGTGTAAACTACCCTGAGAGAAACTTAGGACCACCTTACTGTTTATGTTATGTTATAATAAGCATTTTAATCTGTTTTGGCTAGGTATGTGAAAGCAGGATAACTGAGATGAAACAGGAAAATAAAATTCCTTTGTTCTTCTGAAGTGTTATAGGAGAAGGTGGTAGTCTTGCCTCTTAGATCAGGAGGATCTTTTTTTCCCTCTTCTGTGGCTAAAAGTTTGGCCCCTAACCTTATAGTTCAGTATATTCATGCATTCCAGTGTCTTACATCGGGCTTAATGTTTTTTTAGATGGGCTTGAAACCTAAATGTGCTTTTACATGTGCAAGCACAAGCTTTCATGCCACTTGTGTCAGAGCAACAGATGATACTGCGTTTGTGGATAGAATTTTTCTTGCTCTTTTTGAAAATTTAGCGGAGTCTGAAAACTGTACGTGATTCCTTGGAGGGATTATGCTCTGGGACGTCTGTGTTTATCAGAATGGTATAGCTTCATATATGAGATTATCATCAGAGATGGAAGTAGGTTTCGCTTGATAGAAGTTTGGGAAACTGATTTTTGTGCCGCTGAGATGCGTGCCCTGAATTAGGCCGCGGGCCTTTAACCGTTAGCAGATGCCTCCCTTTTGTAAGCAGCCCTGAATTCATGGTCGATAGGTATCCCTTGGATTATTCCACTCGTGAATATCTTCCTCTGCAACTGGTTACTGTTCTACTTCTATGTGAAATCCTGCACTGTGAAGTTTTTGAGAGAAACAAGCGTCATGTAGTCGTGTGGTTTCTCAAGTAATCGTGGTAAGCCCAATAAGCCAATTAGCTGATAGTTATAGAAAGCATATAAAAATCAAGGATATATAGTATATGTCAGAGTGTATCTTGCATCCTATACAGTTTATTTTTAAGTGAGCCCATAATAAGAAATATTTTTCAATTACAGGCTGATCAGACTATATGTAAATTTTTTGGTGGAAGAGACTGGCTCTTTTGCGTAATAAGTTTAAAGGCTATGGCTCTTAAGGATTCTTACAATACAAATATTAGAT